TCAACATTCTGGAGGGACCAAGGGCATGGAAGAGAAAGTCACATTAATGATCACTCTAAAAAAGGAGTTATTGGAAGACAGGAATACCTTACATACAGTACCCTCAGAGTTACTTAAAGTATATCACAACCAAGTAAGAGTGAGATGCTATGAAACATTCAGATTTCATGGGAGTTTAAAAATATAACTGCTAAATCTTAACAGTTGGACTGAATATACAATCAATAAGTCAGGAAACTGAGCTGATTCTTCCAGAGCAAGAGAGCGAGGGAGCAAGAGCGTGAGCGAGAGCGAGAGAGAGTATATGGTCATGTTATAAAATAAGAGACACAGGGGCTGAGGTGGAGCTCAGTTACAGACGGCTTTCCTAGCATGCATGAGGTCCCATGATCAACTGCCACCAAGTGACAGACAGAGATGGAGGAAAATTACAAAGGAATAGGATTATGAGAATAAAAATGTATGAAAGCACCAAGGAAATAAGAAAAAATATTTCCTAGGATTTAAGATGATATTAAATTAAAAGGGTCTACTAAATGCCAGGCAAAATATAATACAAAATTATTTTCTGAAAGTATGCAGGTATTAACATGATAAAGAAAAGTTAGATTTTTTTCTGATTCTCCTTTTAGAAAACCCCAAAGTAATGAGAAGAATGAGAAACAGTAATGCCAGCTCCATACTAGACGACAGCTGCAGCACAGCCTGAGCCCAGGGCTGCAGATCTGAGAAGCCAGCAGGCCCCATGACCCTAAAGCATAGATAACAAAGCAATAATCACTTTCTAGTAGAATGAGGTTTTAGTCATAGAATGTTCTAGAAGAATAGAATAGAAATAGAATTTAGTAATGTTCTAGTGGTAGGGAGTTTCCAGGCACAGTGTGGTATTGAGAAAAAGCTGAGGAAGTTGATTTGAGCAAGAATTATCATAGACAAATCATATTTTTCAGGAAGTGTTCTGCTGTTGAGAAAAGAGAAGAAGATGATTGCATTTTGATGCAATCTGGCACTGACCTCGAGTAGGCTGCGGAGACAGAAAACCTAAAGGAACTGAGTCACACAGTGAAATCTGGTGTGATGAGGAGAATCTGGGGTGACCGTCCATACCAGTACTAGAGAACGTTGTAGAGCTTTTGCTGGGAAAAATAGCCAGCTGCAGCATGTATTCCACAGGTTCACCAGCACTGGCCTCTCTAGAAAATACCCAAGATTTCACCTTATTTAAAATTAGCTTTAAAGAGCACAAGACTAGGGGCCAGGCAGATAGCTAGTGGAATAAGTGCTTGCGTGGCAAGTACAAGGTCCTGAGTTTGATCCTGGTACCACTAGGAAAAAAAAAAAAAGCACAGGACTGGGCACAGTGGCACACGCCTGTAACGCAGCTAGTCAGAAGCTAGAGGAGGAGGATTGCATTTTTAAGATGGAATCTGGGGGCCAGGGAGATGGCTCAGTAGGATAAGTGCTTGACTGGCAAATGCAAGGATCTGAGTTCAATCCTCAGATTATTATGGGGCTGGGGAGATGGCTCAGTAGAATAAGCGCTTGCCTGGCAAGCACAAGGGCCTGAGTTCAATCCCTGGCTCCACCAAAAATAAAAAAATAAAAAAAATTAAAAAAAGATGGAATCTTTCTAACTGCGTAGGCAGATTCTATCTCAAAATAAAAAAAGGTGTGTGGGGCGGGGGAGCTGGAGAAGGGCTGGGAGATAGCTTGGTGGTCTGAGTGCCTGCCTGGCAAGCACAAGGACCCGGGATCGATCCATGGTACCCAGAAACCAGACGTGGTAGCACATGCCTTTGTAATCCCAGCACTGGGGAGGCTGAGACTGGAGGATCACTGTGAGTTTGAGTTGCATAGTGAGACCCTGTGCCAAATAAATTAATAAATAAATAAATAAATAATTTTTTTTTTAAAAAAAGGACTAGAGACACAGCTCAGCAGCAATTACTTGACACACATGTGCAGCCTGCTGACTCAATGCCAGGAACTGGGGGGATTATTAAACAAATAAGTTATTATGAAACAATTAGCACAGGGGCAAAATTGCTTTGTGGGATTGGGACAAGCAAAACTCTCAAAGCTGATGGCAGAGGAAAGAATTGCACAGTACAGCAGATAAAATTTGAAACCAAAGAGTTACAAAAATTGAAAAAAAGGGGCCGGGGAGAAGGCCCAGTGGAATAAGTGCTTCCCTGGCAAGTGCAAGGCCCTGAGTTCAATCCCCAGTTCCACAAAAAAAAAAAAAAAAAAAAAAAAAAGAAAAGAAAAGAAAAAAAAGAATAAAAATCATCTGTATAAAACTCAATCCCATAAAACAAGAATACAAGACAAAGGTATGAGAGCTCATGAAAAATAAAAACTGTGGGAGCTGGGGAGATAGCTCAGTAGAATAAGCACTTCTCTGGCAAGGGCAAGGGCCTGAGTTCAATCCCCAGTTCCACCAAAAAATAAAAATAAAAAATAAAAAAATAAAAGATGTATGTGCCGGTGCATGCCTGTAATCCCAGCAACTTGCAAGGCTATGGCAAGAAGGTGATAAATTTGAGGCCAGCCTGGCACACTTAGCAAGATCCTGTCTCAAAATAAAAAATAAACAATCAGAGGTTGTTAGCTCCATTTCCATAGAATACTTGCCTGGTATTTTCTGTCTTTCTTTCTTTTTCTTAATGGTTGGAACCAGGGATTGAACTCAGGCCCTTACGCTTGCCAGGGAAGCGCTTATTCCACTGAGCCATCTCCCTGGCCCCTTGGCCAGCATACTGAGCCCTGTTTTCAATCCTCAGTACTGGAAAAAATAAAAGGCAAAACAGGCTAGCTTCAGACTTCACAAATATTTATTGCCAGGAAGCAACAGAACGATCGTAACAAATTAAAAGAATAAAAATATTACACAATACTTGTACAGAATTGACACTGGTCAATTTAAATTATCATTGAAGTAAAGATGACAAATACAACAAATAAACAAAAATATTTTCTTTTTTGTTTTTGATTTTACACACACCAGTACCTTTGTGGTGATGTTTATTTTTTCTTCTAAAGGATCCAATTGATTTTTTTTTTTTTTTTTTTAGCGGAACCAGGGATTGAACTCAGGCCCTGGTGCTTGCCAAGGAAGCACTTATTCCACTGAGCCATCTCTCCGGCCCCCCAATTCATCTTAGTACACTGTTTATAGTCTTATCCTTCAACCCAGTTGCTACTACCATTTTTTAACATCTGGGAAAAATAATTTAAAATGTTTTCTTCCCTTTTAATGTTGAAGCTTATTTATTGATGTAAGGCAAGGTGGCACATGCCCGTATTCCCAACACTTGGGAGGCCGAGGCAGGATTGCTGTGAGATCAAGGCCAGTGTGGGCTACACAGTGAGTTCAAGGCCAGCCTGGAAAGACCCTGTCTCAAAAAATAAAGTTTATTTGTATTAATCTATTCCTAGGTAGGTAGTACTCTCACACAGAACAAAATTCAAAAGGTACAAAAGCCAATCTCTTTTTCACTAATGTCACTCAGTTCCTCTTTCCAAATGGATTTCTCTTTACACAAATGGTAATATATTGTGCACTTTGTTCTATGCCTTGTGCTTTCCTACATACAGCGTCAATATATCTTGAATCCCATGGCATGGTGATAAGATTGAACAACCAGATATCTTACCCCCTTTTTCATTGCTGTTTTGTTTTGAGACAGAGTCCCATTAGGTAGGTCGTGCTGGCTTTGAATTCACTGTGACCCAAGCTGGCCTCAAACTGGCATAGCTCTTCCTGTCTCAGCCTCCCAAGTGTTGGGATTTCCAGGTGCGTGCTGCCGCACTCAGCTCTCTTGCCCCTTCCTGGCCTATTTTCCACACAAACGACTGCTCACCTGAAGCATCCCGTAAGGCCCCCAGTGCCCTGCCCCCACATCTGTTCCTTTACCTCACCTACCCAATCCTTCTGATTGGGCTACCAACCTGTTTTCCGTTGTGCTTGTTATTCCTTCTGCCTAGTAGGTTCTTCCTCCGGCTGCTGCAGGATTCTCTCCTCCCCTTCATTCTCCTCCGTAGGCAGGACTACTCTGAACAGTCTCTCTGAAACAGGAGCCCCCATCATCCCTTGTTCTTCAGAATAATAGTAGCTTACGGTCGATATTTTTGCTATATACCAGGCACTGAGGACAGTGCTTTATGTATTTTAATTCACTTAATCCTTGTATAAACTCTTTTATTAGTACATGTTTGTCACACATAAAGATGACATTCGTCATAGGGAATTTATTTATTTTCATTTTATGTATTTAATACAGGGTCTCACTACGCAGCTCAGACTTGTAGTGATCCTCCCGTTTTCAGCCTCCCCAGCTGCTGGGATTATAGGCATGTGCCACCATATCCAGACACCAGCTCGGCGTGCCCTGGGGGCAGGACCTGTGGCATGTGGGACCGGGGATCAAACCCTGGTCCCTACATGTGCCAAAGCAGGTGCTTAGTCTGTTGAGCTATCTCGCTAGCTCCATCATAGGGAATTTATACCTGTACATAGTATATCTGAATTGTTCTTTTCCCATTCCCCTTCCATTCCTTCAATGCTTTTCCTCCCTCAATTATTTATAAAAGCTTTGTTTCAATTTTTTTCCCTCAAATCTCTTTGCTAAAAAATCGCTTTGTCCCTTCCTTCCTTCCTTCCTTCCTTCCTTCCTTCCTTCCTTCCTTCCTTCCTTCCTTGTGCATGTGATTTATTTCACTTGAAATCATGGTCTCACACCCTGAGCTATGGGAGCCCCACAGGGAGGGCCCGCCCCAGAGTGACTCAGCACAGAAAGGGCATATAAAAGGGTCGAGGAAGGAGTCGACGTTCCACTTCCTTGGAGGAGCTTCAGTCCTGGCAGTGAGCTTGGGCTTCGTCTCCTGGCTTCCAGGGCGGACTCTGCAGCCTCCGGATTGGATCCTTTAGCTTCCACTGCAGATCCTCCAGCTTCCATCGCAGATTCTTCAGCCTTCCATCACAGATTCTTCAGCCTCCCATCGCAGACCCATCAGCCAACTGATAGAGACTTGCAGGGAACACTGCTGTGAACTTTAGACCTTGGAACCGAATCCTTTAGTCTCGGGTGTGCAGATGGCTTCTGCATGCTTCCTCATCCTACTCTATGGCTGACTGTCATAAGCCAATCTTGTACTTTCTTATACATTTGTACATCTTAGGTTATATGTATTTTTTGTATTATATCTGTGTGTCTAGTAAAACCTTGACTAATAAAAAAAATATGGTCTTAAGCTTCATCCATTCACCTAAAAATGTCTCAAGTTTATCCTTCTTTATGGCAGAATAGTACTTTATTGTGTAAAAATACACATTTCTTTATTCATCTACTGATGGTCACGTGGGCTGTTTACAAGATGTGGCTATTATAAATCACTGCTCTAAACATAGGTGTGCATAGATCCCTGTGGCATGACGCTTTTACCTTTTGAGGGAAGATGCTTAGAAAGGGAATACCTGGGTTAAAAGGTACCTTTAATTTCAGTTTTCTGAGGGATTTCCATAGTGATTTCTGTAGTGGTTGCACCAGTTTGCACTCCTGCCAGCAATGGCCTAGGGCTCCTCCCCCCACCCCCCATAGCCTCACCAGCATTTTAGGCCCATCTCTGTCCCATGCACTAAACTAAAACTGAAGTGGATCAAAGATCTACGTAGTAAAACAGAAACACTCTGCTGGAAGATGAATGGATGAAATTCTTGAAGACACAGGTGTAGGTAAAGACTTTATGAACAAAACCCCGACTGTATAGGAACTATCATAAAGAATCAACAACTGGGACCTTATCTTACTAAAAAGCTTTCTCATGGCAGAAGAAACTTCCAGCAGAGTAAAAAGACAAAAAAATGTTGCCAGCTATTACTCAAAGGGCTAATATCTAAAATATATTTTTAAAAGTAAAAAATAAATGAGACCTCCTAAATGCAAAGACCTAATCCAAAAATGGCATCTGAATGACATATACACTTTTCAGATGAAGAAGTACAAATGGCTAATAAATACTGTATATGAAAAAACGACTACATCACTGGCCACTCAAGAAATGCAAATTAAAACAACACTGAGATTCCACCTCACTCATACAGAATGGCTGTCATCAAGAAATCAACCAATAACAAACACATGAACTCTCTGAAGTAGATATTACTATTGTCCCCAGGTGATAGATGTGCAAGCCGAGTCAGATGCACTCTTATGTAAGTTCCCCAAGGCTACACACCTCAAAAGTCTCAGGACCAGGATAAAAACCCAAACAGTTTAATTCCTGAGTCAATTTTTTTTTAATTTTTTAAATTTTTTTATTTGAGAAAGAGAGAGAGAGAGAGTGTGTGGTGTGTGTGTGTGTGGCCAGCTCAGCCCACCAGGGGGCGGGGCTGGCTGGCATGTGGTGCTGGGGGATTGATCCGCGGTCCCTAATGCTTTGCTAAGCTTGTTCTAAGTAGGTGCTTTAGACCACTGAGCCATCTCTCCAGCCCCCCTGAGTCAAATTTTATATGGTTCCTTATCTACTATTTTTAAAAATTATTGGGGCTGGGGAGATGGCTCAGTAGAATAAGTGCTTGCCTGGCAAATGCAAGGGCCTGAGTTCAATCCCTGGTTCCGCAAAAAAAATAAAAAAAAATATTGACTTTTTTTTTTTTTTTCCTGGGGTGGGAATGGAACCCTGGGCCTTGTGGATGCTAGACTGGAATCTCACATATGTTAGGCGGACATTCTACACTAAGGTGTACCCAGCCCCAAATCAAATTTAATTGACAGAAACTGTGTGTATTTATCATGTAACACATGTGACTTCGAAATATGTATATATTGCGGAATATAAACGTTTTCTCACATATTATTTTTGTGTGTATAACATATGAACATATAAAATCTACTCTGTGATTTTCAAACTCTACTAAATGATTTTTTTTTTTGAGTCCGGGCCTTGCTATGTAATGCAGGCTGGCCTTGAACGCACTATGCGGCCTTGGCTGGCCTTGGCTTGTGGTAACCCTGCTGCCTCAGCCCTTGCAGTTATGGGACTGCAGGCATGCACCACCATGCCTGGCTACTGAGTGATTCTGAAAGCCAGGTATGCGGCACACACATGCAATCCCAGCCTCTCGGGAGGCTGAGGCAAAAGGGCTGCAAGTTCGGGCCAGCCTGGCAGTTTGGCAATACCCTATATCAGGGGTTCCAGCAGCTCTGGCGGCGGGAGGAACGGCAGCAGTAGAGCTCTGTAGCTCCGCGAGGCTCCCGTGCGCCTCGACCCGCAGCCTCCGCACGCATCCCGCGTGCCGCCAAGATGCCCAAGAGCGAGGTCAGCTGGGCCGAAGGGGCGGCGAAGGAGGAGCCCAAGAGCAGGAGATCCGGGAGATTGTCGGCTAAACCTGTTCCAGCTGAAGTGGAAACGAAGCCAAAAAAGGCAGCGGGAAAGGATAAATCTTTGGACAAAAAAGTGCAAGCAAAAGGGCAAAGGGGAGCCAAGGGAAAACAGGCTGAAGTGGCTAATCAAGAAACCAAGGAAGATTTCCCTGCGGAAAATGGAGAACCTAAAAATGAGGAGAGCGCAGCTTCTGATGAAGCAGAAGAGAAAGAAGCCGAGTCTGATTAATCACACACCATGTCTTATCAGTGCTCCCTGTCTCCCTTCTTGTACAATCCAGAGGAATATTTTTATCAACTATTTTGTAAATGCAAGTTTTTTAGTAGCTCTAGAAACATTTTTAAAAAGGAGGGAATCCCACCTCATCGCATTTTTTAAGTGTAAATGATTTTTTTAGGGTGAAATCATTCCCTGGTTGTTTATTTTTTGGTACAACCAGAAATAGTGGGATATTGAATTACAGCAGGCTTTGACAGTCTTGGGTGTCAGCTTAACATTCTATAAGTGGGGGTTAGTTTTATATCCTGCAATATAAAGCATACTAAATGACAATTTGGAATTACAGTCCTGCATTTAATATGTCTTGGATACTTTAAATGACTTCTATTCTCATGATTTTTAAATTTTTTTTTATTATTTGAGAGAGAGAGAGAGAGAGAGAGAGAGAGAGAGAGAGAGAGAGTGGTGTGTGTGTGGCCAGCTCAGCCCACCAGGGGGCGGGGCTGGCTGGCATGTGGTGCTGGGGGATTGAACCGAGGTCCCTGATGCCTTGCCAAGCTTGTTCTAAGTAGGTGCCTTAGACCACTGAGCCATCTCTCCAGCCCCTATTCTCATGATTTTTGGTAGAGTTTTTTCCTAAAGAAAACTACATCCTAATTGTTGCCCTGTCAGAACCATCAGAACTGTGTGCACTCTGTAACATCTTTGATAGTGGTAGTCCGGTTTGCCCCCTTTTGTTAATGTGCTGTGAAAGATCAAAAATTTGAATATGTAGTATATGTGATACAAAATTGTGAATTGGTGGGACTTAAGTAACACTGTCAGCATTTGAAGATACTGGTACTTAATCCTCTTACAGAATTTGAAGCTGGAAAGTCACTGGAACAACTGAAAAACAACACATGGCTTTTTTTGGTATGTGTGTTAAGAATTGTGTACAAAGTCAATGTGTACTGATCCTCAAGAGAAACAATAAAATCTCAAATACTGAAGATAAAAAAAAAATACTCTATATCAAAATAAAAAAACCAAAAGGGCTGAAGATATTCCTGAGTATTCCCTGGGTTTGATCCACACCATAACAAACAAACTCCACGCTGTTGGTAACTATAGTCACCCTGGAGTACAGGAGATCACTTCCTCTCATGTTTTTAAACACAAATTATACCGTCATTGCCCTGCTTTATCTTTTAACGTAACACTTACTACTCTCCTTGTCTCAGTTTCTCTTCTCCCCTTGCTAGGACAAATACTACACACTCAAAATGAAGGAAGGAAAGGCTTATTTAGCTCACAGTTACTGGAGGTTTCAGTCCATACTCTGCTGGCTCCAAACCAGAGCTGCACAGGGCAGAGAGCAACCTTTCAGGGCAGCAGCAAAGATCAGAGAGCAAAGGGAGGGGCAGCAGCTCCCCATAGTCCCTAGCTTCTCTCCAGTCCTTACATTGAAATGCAAATTCCCTGCCCCAGGGCAGGTGCAGCATCCACACCCACAATAATCAATCACAAACTCCAGGAGCTGCTCCCTGACTGCACAAGGCTTTGAGGAACCTACACACAAGCCATAATACTCCTATATATCTAATCATATATCAGATATTAAATTATATATTTACTTGTTTATTTTTCTCTACCATCCATAGTGGTTGTAAGATCTCTAAGAGCATAATTTGATTTATTTTCTTCACTGCTGTATGTTATACACTGAAAAGAGTACCAACATACAACAGAGGCTTAAGAATACATGAATGGACACCTAGGCTTGCTCTTTCCCAATATGAAAGCCCATGTATAAACTGAGTAGGACAGGGCCGGCCAAATAGCTCAGTGGATTAAAGAGCCTGCAAGCAGGGCTGGTGAGATGGCTCAGTGGTCTAAGGCACCTACTTGGAACAAGCTTAGCAAAGCACAGGGACCGCGGTTCAATCCCCCAGCCCCGCCCCCTGGTGAGCTGAGCTGGCCATACACACACACACACACAAATAAATAAATAAATAAATAAATAAAAGAGCCTGCAAGCAGGTGCAGGGTCGGGGGTTCTGGGGCATGCTGTGCTGGCCCCGCCCCCGAGGTGGGCTGAGATGGCAATTGAACCTGGGCAGTGGTGGCTCGCACCTGCTGGTGGCACGCGCCTGTAATCCCAGCTCTTGGGAAGCTTTAAACAGGCTGATTACTA